TGCCAGGCATTGTTCCAAGATCATTGGAACATCTACCTGATCTTTGTATTTGATCGCCTCAGCAACACCATGGATATGTATTAATACTATTCTTAGTCCTAACTTAAGAGTTTGAGGAAACGGCAGCACCAGAGAAGTTTAGTAACTTGCCCTTTGCCACACAGCAAGTAAGTAGCAGAGCTGAGAATCAAATCCAGTCAGTCTGGCTCCAGAAAGCCCTCTCTACACTGTTATCCTGTATTTTTTTCTGCCAATTACAGTGTATATAAAGAATCCTGACTTGAGGCACTTAGCATTCAAATAGAGGATGTTTTTCATTCCCCGCCCCAGTTACTCTCCAATAATATCTTTAATGACTTCTTAATTATTCCAGTACTCTAGACCTGTTTTTGTTTGTTTATCTGCACAGAATCAAGTCTTCCTTAACACCTCCCACAAGCAGAGGGTGGCGCCCCATGGGCCATTTCTGAGATGTCACCTGTCCCCTTCTGCTGTGGGCCAGGGGAGAGGACAAAGCAGGAAGGGAGGGGGGAGCATCCTCTTAGCCTGCACACCGCCCTCCCCCGAGGCGGCCTCGGACCCCTCCCCTTCTTCGAGTCCTTCTGCTGAGGGGCCTGGGTCAGGTGGGGCCACTGACAGCACAGTTCTGCCAGCACGGCCCCAGCCGTGGGAAGTTCAGTGACACCTCTCCTCATGCAGAAAGCGGGGACAGAAAGCGGGGACTGGGGCCTTCTGGCTTCTGCACTGGGCCATGGCCAGAATCTGGACAGATTCCCGCACCCCCTCCTGTGACTGTGCCAGACACCTGTCCCACACAGCGACCCTGAGGCAGAGGGCCAGGACACCCCCCTTTCAGATACGGTTCAGCACCTTCCCCAAGGGCGCCACTCTAATGGGCCGATGGCACTAGAGCTCCAATGGCATCCCCCTGATGTGGGTCAGGGAGAGGGGAGGGGCGGTGGGGGGAGAGAAACCAGTCACAACCAATGGTGACTTAGATGATCAGTGGGTTTCTAGGTCCTCCATAGTAGAAACTAATTCCAAAACTTCTCTATCTGCCCCTGCACCATGGCCCAGCTTAGCACCACCCACCCCGCAGACCTGACTCACTGACCACCAGGAGGAATGTGGAGAAGCTGGCGCCTTCTCACACTATGCTGCTACATACACATATTTTTTGGCCACACCATCCTGCTTGTAGGATCTTAGTTGCCCAACTAGAGATTGAACCTGGATCCTGGGCAGTAAAAGCACCGAGTCCTAACCACTGGACAAGCAGGGAATTCTAATGCTGCTATGCACATTTAAAACTAGCAAAAGCCATATCTCCCATCACCCGTCCCTTCTACCAAACCATCTCCACTTTCAATGACACCATCTCCATTTCTCACTACCAGCCTTTTATCACAAGACCATCCAGAGTTGTCTGAGTCTGAAAAATTAAATTCACTCATTCAGTCATTCAGTTAACCATGTGCTGAGCACATTTGGTAACAGACTCTGAGCTCAGCTGTAAGGATTCCAGCATAAAAGAGATACTAGGGTCTTATCCAGCCTCAAAATTAGAGGAACCTCTCTTTCAAGTGACAGTCCCACCATGCAGTGAGTCTCAACAGTTCAAATAAAAAATTCACTGAGAACAGTAAAAAGGGTGGCCCCCTTGGCTGCCACTCTTTCTTTGGTGATAAAATTCCTTTATAAATGGAAGGAGGAGGGAGAACTGGAGATGCGCAGGCCAGCAGCTGCTCAGGTCCCAACCTGCCCCTAACAAGATGCTTCCTGATCTCACCTAGAATGCGAGTAAACAGATAAATCCAGTTAGGACGATCCCCTCAAGCATCGCAACCCTCCCCTGGGGGAGAGGCAGGTGTATCACGATGATGTCAGCTCCTGTCATTTATCAAAGGTCTACCACGTGACAAGCATTGTGTGGCCCCCTTATAGACATGATCTCTAACTGTGGCAACAGCCCCCCAGCTAGGTCTGACCATCCCCACTTTACAGCAAAGGGAGCCAGGCTCAGTAGACTGGAGAGAGCCTCGTGGCCAGACTGGTGAGGGCTGGAGCCAAAAGCCCAGCCGCCTGGCGCTAGCTATGCTTCTCCAATCAGATTTCCTGGGCACCCCCTAGATCAGTGGATCAGAATCTCTGTGAATAGAGCACCTGAATCACCCTCATTACAATCCTAATGATGTCCAGGTATAGGCAGCTGGGGGACCCCTTGGTGTGGTTGAGTCTGGAGCTATTCTTGACCTTGTCCAAAGAATAATATGTCAAGAGTCTGAGGGAAGGTTTGAAATGTTTTCCCATGAAAATCTTTGAAAAAAGCCCAGGCTTGCATATACCTGAAGTTGTACAAAGAAACTATTTTTTTAGTAGTTTTATTTCAAATTTTTCAAAAGGAACCTGGTCTCATGAAGAATTCACTTGGTGTCACACCAGGCATTATATTCAATAAGGAACTGGAACCATTTGGGGTATTTTCTCTATCTTCCTCTTAGAGACAGCTCTATTCCTTGAAAGAGAGCAGGCAAAAATGACTAGGTCTTCCATGGAAGAGTGTGGAAGACCAACGAGACGGCTCTGTTGGTTGAACTCATTTATGCTTGAAAATATCTGTGTTCCAAACTCCTTTTTTCATTGTGAATTTTCATTAATAAAATCTGCTAATTAAATAAGCAAAAAAAAAAAAGAAAGAAAGAAAATATCTGTGTTCTAAGCAAGTAACAGAAATGGCTGTCTACAGGATATTTCATTTGCTATCTAGCAAATCAATATCAGCAAAGGCAGACTGGCAGGTAAGCAGGTTGGCAACCTCAGAACTAGCCAATGGTATGAGAAAAAGATAATCCAGATCCTTAGTATCTAATGAGTTTAAAGTGGCAAACTATTCACGATTTTCAACTAAGTTTTTTTAATTAATTGTGCTTTAATTAATAATCTGCAAGTACAATGAACTGTCAGTTTATTTATAGATTTCTCTCCAAATTAGTAATATATCCTATTTCATAAAATACACGAGTGATTCTGTGAAATGGCTTTTCCCTGTGTGAACCGGAGCCTGTGTCTCCCTAAAGAGGCATTAATGCCTGGTAGCATTTACCAGAGGGTAGAACAGAGGAGTCCTTTGGAGAAATTAGAAACTTCCCGAGGACTTGTTATGAAAGCTCAGTTCCTTTAGAGTAATGGAAACGTCATAAATCACTCAGGTTTAGTTTTGCCCAAGGATGGCGTGAAGACTGGCTGAACCCCTGAGGCCGCTGCCAGCTCTTTAGCAATTAGTCTGGCACAGTCTCCAGGTGGATTTAAAGACGACCAGCTGCTAGCAAGCATCAGGGTAAATGCGGGATCCGCTTCCTGCGCTGCCAGCCTAGCGCCTGCGAGAGCAGACAGGACGGCCAAACTCTAGCCCAGTTCCAGGATGTTCTGTGCTGACCTGTGCTCCCAGGTCAATGCTCTGACTCCCGCAGGCAGTGAGAGTGTCAAGGTGGGGAAACTGGCAAGGACCAGGGCTGGGCAGTGGGTCTGAACACCCGACCCTGCTTCACGTCTGGACAGGGCTGCAGTCTGACACGGCCCAGCACGCAGTACCATGTCCAAGAGGAGGTTGGGCGGCTCCCACAGAGTATAGAGCTTTCTAGCTCAGATGTTACCCCCGGCCTGCTGTTCTGTGTACCGAAGATGCTTCATCCTTAAGCAGAGTTACGGCTAGAGCTGGGATGCTGTCATAGGCTGAAAAAACAACCCCTGAAAAGATATCCGTATCCTAATCCTGGAATCTGCAGATGTTTTCTTACACAGCAAGAAAGAGGTAGGGGCAAAAAGGCTGGGAGGCTGATGTGATTAAGTTAAGGCTCTTTGGATGGCGGGGGGTGGGGGTGGTGGGCATGGTGGTGATCCTAGACTGTCTGAGAGCAGGGTTGTCAGGGAGACCCAATGCAATCACATGTATCCTCGTAAGAGGAGGGAGAGGGAGATTTAACACACACAGAAGAGAAGGTTGCATGAAAGTAGAGTGGAGAGAGAATTGAGGATGCCAGCCTTGGAGACTGGAGGGGTGCCAAGTCAAGGACTGCACTGCCACCAGGAAACAGAAGAGGCAAGCAGCAGATTCTCCCTGAGAGCTTCCGGGGGGAGGCCCGCCCCGTGATCCTGATCCCAGCTTTCTGCCTCCAGAAGGCTGAGGGACCACATTCCTGTTGTTCTAGGCCACTGAGTTTAAGGTAATTAGTTGTAGCATCCCCAGGAAACTAATACAGACGCACGGATGTGGAAGCCGGCACACCTGCCATGGGGTCCAGCCGGCACACGTGAGGGTGGCCGCTGCTCCCTCCCGGGGCTGGGGTGATGTTCACTCTGGGGGCCATGTGGTCTTCCCTTCTGACGCAGATCCATGGTTCTCTACACAACCCCAAGGTCCAGTGGGCCGCCTGCCCCCCCATGCCCTCAACCTAATAAATTCAGATCATTTAAAATCTTGGAAGCAATCTAAATCATCACCTGTGGATGAGGAGTAACATTTAGAAGAAGAAACGAGATGGTCTTTACCCTCTGATTAGTTCTGTTACCCCATTTTACAGATGCAGAAACTGGGACCTGGAGGAGTTAGTCGGCTAGTCATGAAGCAAGACCAAAACATCTAAGACACATTCTCTAAAACAATGAAAGCCCTGAAACCACCCCTTACCTCTAGGCCAACACGAACTGAAACAGCATATATATCCATGAACCATTGCTTCTGGTGTATGGCAAATTAATTTGATGATTAATCATGTTCAGCCTTGTTTATGTGGCTATTGTTTGAGCTGCCTTTTAAATATTGTATCATTATTTCATCTTTGGTTCATTTATCGACTTATTTCTCCATCCAGATTGTACATGCCTCCACAGCAGCTAGCACAGGACTTTGCTCACAGCTAGTGTTCAAGAACCACTTATTTCTGTCCTGAAGAGCCTACCAGCTATTCTGTAAGCCCCAGTGTAATTCCACTTTCTTCCAGGTGAGACCGCAAGAGCAGATCAGAGCCCATCAGTTCCAGGGACAGCAGCACAGCCAGTCACTGTGACGCAGGTCCCGGGGACCACCGCCACCGAGGCCACCCACACCATCTTGCCAAAGCCCTCCCCATCGGCAGGCTCTACCACCAGCAGCCTCCAGGAGAGAGAATTGAGGATGCCAGCCTTGGAGACTGGAGGGGTGCCAAGTCAAGGACTGCACTGCCACCAGGAAACAGAAGAGGCAAGCAGCAGATTCTCCCTGAGAGCTTCCGGGGGGAGGCCCGCCCCGTGATCCTGATCCCAGCTTTCTGCCTCCAGAAGGCTGAGGGACCACATTCCTGTTGTTCTAGGCCACTGAGTTTAAGGTGATTAGTTGTAGCATCCCCAGGAAACTAATACAGACGCACGGATGTGGAAGCCGGCACACCTGCCATGGGGTCCAGCCGGCACACGTGAGGGTGGCCGCTGCTCCCTCCCGGGGCTGGGGTGCTGTTCACTCTGGGGGCCGTGTGGTCTTCCCTTCTGATGCAGATCCATGGTTCTCTACACAACCCCAAGGTCCAGTGGGCTGCCTGCCCCCCCATGCCCTCAACCTAATAAATTCAGATCATTTAAAATCGTGGAAGCAATCTAAATCATCACCTGTGGATGAGGAGTAACATTTAGAAGAAGAAACGAGATGGTCTTTACCCTCTGATTAGTTCTGTTACCCCATTTTACAGATGCAGAAACTGGGACCTGGAGGAGTTAGTCGGCTAGTCATGAAGCAAGACCAAAACATCTAAGACACATTCTCTAAAACAATGAAAGCCCTGAAACCACCCCTTACCTCTAGGCCAACACGAACTGAAACAGCATATATATCCATGAACCATTGCTTCTGGTGTATGGCAAATTAATTTGATGATTAATCATGTTCAGCCTTGTTTATGTGGCTATTGTTTGAGCTGCCTTTTAAATATTGTATCATTATTTCATCTTTGGTTCATTTATCGACTTATTTCTCCATCCAGATTGTACATGCCTCCACAGCAGCTAGCACAGGACTTTGCTCACAGCTAGTGTTCAAGAACCACTTATTTCTGTCCTGAAGAGCCTACCAGCTATTCTGTAAGCCCCAGTGTAATTCCACTTTCTTCCAGGTGAGACCGCAAGAGCAGATCAGAGCCCATCAGTTCCAGGGACAGCAGCACAGCCAGTCACTGTGACGCAGGTCCCGGGGACCACCGCCACCGAGGCCACCCACACCATCTTGCCAAAGCCCTCCCCATCGGCAGGCTCTACCACCAGCAGCCTCCAAGCACAGCCCGTGGGCCAGAGAAGCAAGGACCTGGGTCAGTAGGTAGACTGTATGTTGCCATGTGCTAGAAAAGTGGGAGACTGGGTTTTCAGGGTCAACAGCCTGTATGAATGCCTGTGTACGGAGTTTTGAGCTGGGTAAGGGAAGAACTCTGGAGACCTGGGCCGGGGGTGTGTGCTGTGTCTTCCCATATTGAAAGGGTAAATTGAACTCATGATAATTCAAAACCGAACTAAAAGCTAAGCAAACTATGTAGAAGGACTTAATACAGATTTGAAAATAGGACTGCTGTTAATCATACTTTGGAACATAGGATATTATGTGAAATTTTCCCATTGCAAAATCTCCATTTCTCCAAAAGCTCAGTTGGAGGGCTAATAGATTCCTGTGTAAACACTGTTGGGTTTTAAGGACAAACTGAATACTCCTGGAAGTCTTCAAATATTAGAAGCAAGCAACAACAAAAAAGAATCCCTTTAAGAAAAGTCAGATCGCTCAAGTTTTTATTTCTTTTCTGGCTGCTTTTTGTCTTACCACTTGTATCCATGTCTTAAATCATGTTTTAGGTTTTACCAAAGTCCAGTTTATGGAATTAATCTTGGTATTACATCGAACACGACCTTAGGAGCCCATTGGATAATCCAAACAACAGCTTTACACAGTCTTCTATGTTAGGCACCCCGGGCAATGAGCATCTATCTCATTTCTAAAAGTCCTCTAGCAAGAGGGTAGGAAATTCCACAGAGCTGGTGTCGCTGTTTCTAGGATACTTCTAAATATTTCCCACCTGGTATCACTTTTTGCTTCTAGGAGGAAGTGCCCAGGACTGGGTCTTTTCAGCCTCACCTCCAGCTTCGAAACATTGCTGCCGCATAGCATGGCCCTTCCCTCTTCCCTGTCAGAGCCCAGCTCTCTAGTCATCTTTCTATTCAACAGGTCCAAACACGTTCAGTGTGCTAGACACTCTTCTAAGCCCCTGACAAATATTAGCCTATTAAATCCTCAAGACAACCCTATAAAGCAGATGCAGTGCTTCTAATTTGATTAATTCACCATATTGAGGAAGAAACTGGCCCCCAGTCACCCTGAAGGGAAGCCGAAGAGCCGGGCTCCAAGACCAGCAGCCAGCTCTCCCGTGACGCTGCCCCCGGCCCCGGCGACAGGAGCCATCTCCACCGTGAACAGACACCCAAGGCACTCACCATGTGGCGCAGAGGCTGAGGCCTGGCCTGCCTGGACACGGACAGGGTGACAAGATTAGAGGGTCTGGACACAGCCAACTCCGGCTCTGATTAGTAATAAACAGTTACAGGATGCACAGCCCATTCTCTGCCTGTGCCAGGCACCCTGCACACATTATTTTAATCTTCCCAACAGTTCTATGAAATAGGAATTATTATTATTCCATCCGATGCATGGCTCATGGAAGAAGCTATAACCTAAAGTCCCCAAATAAAAATACCACAAAAATCATTTCTGAAAGATATTAACACACTACCCCATCCTCTTGATTCTTTTAAAGACTTGTGAGTAGCTGAGTGAGTTGCTTGCTCCTGGTGTCTCCTTAGAGGATGGCAATTTTTACATAACACACATAATTAAGCCTGGGGCATATTTACTTTGCTACACTGGGAGCTTGGAAATCCTGTTACAAGTTGGGCCTGTGCTTGTGGAAAACCTCAAGCAACTTGAAGCAGTGGCTCCAAGCCTGGCAAAGCTTCCTTATTCCTGGCTTGGGGACACAAGCTTTGGGCAGCGGCCTTGCAGCCCATCAGCATTTGCTCTTCATCCCGGTCCAGCACCCACGTCCGTGCTGCCCCACAGACTCCTAGACAAATATCCAGGGCAAACGCTCTGTGTAGCCTGTGCCCTAATTGCTACGAGAGGAGCCAAACTGGGGAGGGAGACAGGAAGAGAGGACTTTTCAAAACATGAATGGTTTACTCAAAGGATTTTCTGTAGGAATGAAGAAGAGTGAAGATTCATGTTTGAATGCCTATGTCTTTTTTTTTTTTTAATAACAGCCTTCTTGAGATACTTTTTGTCTACCATACAATTCACTCATTTAAAATATTCAGTTCAATGATTTTCAGTGTACTTAAAGTAGTGCGACCAACACCACAGTCAGTTCTAAAACATTTTCATCACCTCAAAAAGAAACCCCACACTCACTGACAGTCACTCACCATGTCCCCCTAAAGGCCTCCCCCACTGGCCCTAGATAACCACCAATCTACTCTCATGAATGTCTATCCTAATCCTTGGCTATAGATATTCACTGTGATATTTTAGCCTAAGTGTACTAAATAATATTTAACATATAGATAGCTTATTTCTTCAAATAGCTAAAAAATATTCTATTAAATTATGAGAGCAACTCTCCTGCTGATGGACAAGTAAGGCGCTACTGATGCATTTAAGTGATTTTTTTTTTCCTTTCATATATGTGACTGTAGTCAAAAGATTCTAGAAGTGACTATAGATGGGGCACTGAAACAAAACCTAATTCATGTATTCATTCAAAAGCATTCCTTGAGTGCCCATTGTGTATCAGGCGCCATTCCAGGGTCTTGGGCTATGTCAGTGAATATATCCTACCAAGATCCCCCAAGACCCCTGAGAAGCGTGAGGCAGAACAGGAGCAGCCTGCTTTTGGGGGTCTCGGAGTCATCTTTGCTCTCCCATGAGCTCAAGAGCTGCCTTTCAAACCAGACACAGGCATGGGAGGGAATCCAGGAGAGTTGAAACTTTGCAGGAAGAAAAGAAAGGGGCTCTCTCAGCTCATGAAGAGAAGCTGATACATGTGGCAGGACTCCCAGGAAGATGGGGCTGGACACCACGGTCACATCTCAGCCTCTTAACTGACCTGCAATTGTGCAAACCTAACAAGACAGAGAAGAGTACAGAACAAGAGAAGGCTGGGGCTTCTTGGGGGAGCCAAGACCTAGAGTGACAGCGACTCAGAGTGGAGGCGAGACTGTTCATGGGAGAGGCCAGTGGGGTAGGAATGCCGGCACCTAGTGGAGCCAGGCAGTCAGAGTGCTGCTTCCCAGGACCAGAGGGGGCAGGCTGGAGAACGAGGTTCAGCATTATGCTGAGGAAAGGGCTCTGGAAAAAATGGACGATGCCTTAGGTCTAGAGCAGGGTCCGCTGAATCTACTGCAGTTTGGAAGGTGGAGTGTGGCTTCGCCCGGCATTGTTTTCTGGTCAGGTTTATCTCAAGAAGTGCCCGGGATGCCTCAGCTAATCTAATTACACAGCACCAGATGTGTCCACACTAAAGGGTAAACACCAGAGGGGAGCAGAGCGCCACCTGGTGGAAGGGCTGGTGACACACCTTTCTACTCCACCACGCGCTGACCACGGTCCTCTAAGGAAGAAGTGGTGAAACCTGGGACAGGAAGGAACCAGTATCTATAAAAAGCCCGACCCTTCCATGTGCAATTTCCCTTCTCACCTACATGTATCTCATCTCTGAATGTTTATCTTCCTTAAGGTATCAGGAGAAGATTTTTCTTAAAATCCAGTCTTATAAAACAAGACAAACATTCCAAAAGAAAAATAGGTGAAGGTTATGACCAGGCAGGCCATGAAGGAAGAACTACAAATAGCCAATAAATATAACAGATGTTCACCAGGAATCAAATACACTCAAAGTAAACAGTAAGGTGTCAGTTTTCACCAATTCACATGGGAAATTGATAAAACACCGTTTGGGCAACAGGGTGGAGAAATGACCCAGCATTTGCACTTACAGGAATATATCCTAAGATAATTATCAGTCAAAGTCAAAAGAAGCCTGGACATAGATGTTGTTCATGATAGGAAAATAAGTGGAGACAATTTAATTGTCGATTGTCAGAATGGTTAAAAAGTCACTACGCAGCTATTAAAATATGCATACTTACTGACAAGAGAAGATTGGAATGTGACAGGTTGTTAAGTCAAAGAAGCAGGCTACAAAATAGGATGGCTACCAATCTCATGTGTTACAATTATGTTTTGCACATGAGAATATGTGCATAGAAAAAGGAATAGAACACTGTATACCAAAATTGTAAACCAGCCACTGCTGGATAAAGGGATTGCAGATGATTCTTTACTACCCATAGTGGATATGTTGGTAGTGAGCACCTTTTCACTTTATAGTTAGAAAACAGAACTATTTTGAGTTTGTGTCCAAATAATTGGAACAAGAAAGCAGAGACATCACTTTGCCAACAAAAGTCCATAAAGCCCAAGCTATGGTTTTTCCAGTAGCCATGTGGAAAAGGCAATGGCACCCCACTCCAGTACTCTTGCCTGGAAAATCCCATGGATGGAGGAGCCTGGTGGGCTACAGTCCATGGGGTCGCTAAGAGTTGAACATGACTGAGCGACTTCCCTTTTACTTTTCACTTTCATGCATTGGAGAAGGAAATGGCAACCCACTCCAGTGTTCTTGCCTGGAGAATCCCAGGGACTGGGGAGCCTGGTGGGCTGCCGTCTATGGCGTTGCACAGAGTCGGACACGACTTAAGCGACTTAGCAGCAGCAGTAGCCATGTATGGATGTGAGCATTGGGCCATAAAGAAGAGTGAGTGCTGAAGAATTGACACCTTTGAACTGTGGTGCTGGAGAAGACTGTTAAGAGTCCCTTGGACAGCAAGGAGATCCAACTAGTCAATCCTAAAGGAAATCAGTCCTGAATATTCATTGGAAGGACTGATGCTGAAGCTGAAACTCCAATACTTTGGCCACCTGATGCGAAGAACTGACTCATTTGGAAAAGACCCTGATGCTGCGAAAGATAGAGGGTAAGAGGAGAAGGGGGCGACAGAGGATGAGATGGTTGGATGGCATCACCAACTCAATGGATGTGAGTTTGAGCAAACTCTGGGAGATAGTGAGGGACAGGGAAGACTGGCGTGCTGCAGTCCATGGGGGTCACAAAGTGTCAGACACAACTTAGCAACTGAACAATTAACAACAGTTGGAACAAAGACAAAAGGAATGAAAAGTTATGGTGGATAAACTTGATTCTAAGAAAAACTG